AGCATCCAATGAACAAAACGGAATGGTGCTCTGATGAGCTGAACAGGGTGAATTAGTTTTGTAGGTAGAAAATAAGTGGAGCAAGACTATTTGTTTATTTATTTATTATTATTATAATTTTTTGTGGTACTGGGGTTTGAACTCAGGGCCTACACCTGGAGCCAGTCCACCAGCCCTTTTTTGTGTTGTTTTTTTTTTGAGATAGGGTCTTGTGAACTATGATCCTCCTGATCTCTGCCTCCTGAGTAGTTAGGATTACAGGCATGAGCCACCAGTGCCTGGCTATTTATTTTTTTGAGATAGGGTCTTGCTGTGTAACCCAGGCTGGCCTCAGACTCACTATCCTCCTGCCTCAACTTCTCCAGTACATTCACCACCATGCTGGCCAGACTGGGTTGGTTTCCTTATTAGGATATAAGATAAATCACATTAGTTTAATGGGATTTGACTATCACATCTCTCCTGATTTCTTGAAAGGTGAGCTCTTACAAGTAAACATCTTTCGGTTTTGGGATGTGGAACTTTAGCATGAGTGACTCCATTTTTGGCCTGTTGTCTTCTTTAATGTGCTCAATAGGTGGCTATTATGGTGCCCAGCATGTGGTGTTTTTGCAAATATTTTCTCCCAGTCTGTGGCTTGTCTTCTCATGGTTTTTTATTATTTTATTTTTTAGCTCAATGCAACTGTTTTCCAAGTACGGACTTATAGCAGAAAGTTAGGTTATTTAAGTAAGATTTTTCTCATTTCTTTGAAGTGTTAGAAATATCTTTAAAATATTGGGGTATCATGACAGAGAAATACCACACAACTCAGAAGTCAACAGGCAAGGCAAAATTTACTTCTGCAGAAGGGTATACCACAGACAAAGAGCAAGTATACCCCACAGGGAGCCCATCTCTAATGAAATGCTGCCCTTCCCTTGAATTGGACAGGCTTTGGGTTCACAGTCTATGTGGTTGTCTAATTGGAAAGAGGACATCAGGAGGGGGCTTTAGGAACAAAGAAGTTTAAAAGTTCAGAGAAGCAATAGCTGTCTTAGGTTATCAGTTCCAGAACCAGGGCATCTAGCAGAATTTTGTCTGGCTGAGTATAACAACTTTTTGTTCTTAATAGAAACTTTCATTAGAGTAGGCAGAGTCCATGAACTGAGTATATGGAAAGCGAGTTAGTAAGACCAACATTTGTAACAGTGGTGGTTACTGATTAAATTCTTTGACAGAAAAGAGCGAACCTAAGCTGATTCTCACAGAAGTAATTTGGGTGGTTTTTCTTTGGCAGTACTGGGGTTTGAACTCAGAGCCTCACACTTGCTAGGTAGGAACTCTACCACTTGAGCCACTCTGCCAACCCTTTTTTGTGTTGGCAAAAGATAGGTTCTCATGGCCAAGTACTAGTGGCTCACGCTTACAATCCTAGCTACTCAAAAGGCAGAGATCAGGAGGATCACAGTTTGAAACCAGCCCCAGGCAAGTAGTTTGTAAGACCCAATCTCAGAAAAACTCTTCACAAAAAAAAAAGGGCTGGTGGAGTGGCTTAAGGTGCAGGCCCCAAGTTCAAACACCAGTACTGTTAAAAAAAAAAATCACAAAAAAGGGTTGGCATAGTGGCTTAAGCAGTAAGAGTGCCTGCCTAGCCGGTGTGAGGTGTGAGGCTGTGAGTTCAAATCCCAGTGCCACCCACCAAAAAGTAACGAGTTTGGGCTGGAGGCATAGCTCAAGCTGTAGAGCTCTGCCTAGCAAGTACAAGTTCCTGAGTTGACTCCAGTATGACCAAAAAAAAAAAAAAATCAGGGCTAAGGGTGTGATTCTAGTGATAGAATGCTTGCCTAGTAAGCAGAAGGTTCTGAGTTTTTAGAGAGAGAGAGAGAGAGAGAGAGAGAAGGTGTGTGGACAGGCATGATGGTACATGCTTGTAATCCCACACTCAGGAGGCTGAGCTGGGAGGACTGCAAGTTTGAAGCCAGTCTAGGCTACATAGCAAGATCCTGTCTCAACCACCGCCCCCAACCAAAAAAAAAAAAATGTTTGGTTGCAGATAACAGAAATTGTTTACAGTGGATTGGATAGGAATTTGTCCTTATATAAGGATAATTATAGAGCCAATATTTATTATACACATATTATGGGTGAGATAGAGTTCCAGCTGCTTACATGAATTACTAATTTTATCTTTACAATATATTACAGATAAGGAAATAGAAGCATGGAGAAAGTAGTAATTTGCTAAGTATTATGTAACAAAAATTCAGCAATCCAGGGCTAATACAACTTTCAAGGATGTTAACAGTGCTGGAGTTTCCTGTTTTTCTGTTTCACCACCATCAGTCTGTGGCTTTTGTCCTCATGGTCACAAAACAGCTGCTGTTACATTTGGTGTGCACCACCACGCCTGGCTTGGATTCATAACTTTATGGGCCACTGGGAGGTGGTGGAAGCTTTTGGAGGTGGAGCCTGGTTGAGGACCTAGGTCACTGGGGGCTCCTCTTTAAGGTGTGACTGCCCCTTCTTCCTGACCACCATGAGGTGAGCAGCTCTCCTCCACCACACCTTCTGCATGGTGCACTACCTTGTCATAGGCTTCAAACAACCAGACCAAGTGACAGTCAACTGAAATCTCTGAGAACGTGAGCCACACAAGCCTTTTTCTCCTTTAAGTTGATGTCACTTAGTTTTGTCACAGTGATGGAAATCTGACTAACACAATGGGTATACTACTCAAAGTCTTTTTCTGAGATCCTAAAGCTTTTAGGAAAAGGCCTTGCTTCTCAAACTCCACCCCCCCACCCCAATGTAAAAAGAGCATTGAAGCTGGGTGCTGGTGGCTCACATCTGTAATCCCAGATACTCAGGAGGCAGAGATCAGGAGAATGGTGGTTCCAGGGCATTCCAGGGCAAAAAGTTCTCCATAACCTGTCTGGAAAATACCTGTCACAATAAAAAGGGCTGATGAAGTGGCTCAAGTGGTAGAGTGCCTGCCTAGCAAGTAGAGGCCCTGAGTTCTATTAGGTCCCTGGCATTCTTGGGGCAGGAGGAAGGTCCCAAGGCTAGCACCAAAACCAGACCCCTGATTTATGACCGCTTGCCAAACTCCCCTGCTTGTTTCCCTGCTTGTTTCTCTGCTTACAAAATCTCAGGAACTTCCAGTTACTCAGCTAGCCAGGCATGCTGACCTGTTCCATCTGGTGATCACAGATAATCCGAGACCAGAGACTCTTTCAGTCCCTCATGGCTTGGCCCCTCCTATAAAGCCCATTACCCAATTCAGCCAAGCTGCTGAGCTCTGAACCCAAAAGAGTGACAGCCCTGCAGTCTGGTTCCTAATAAATCTTTCTTTTTTTTTTTTTTTTTTAACTGTTTATCAAAATTTATTTAAAACTGTTGGTTTAGTCTTCTGTCCCAGAGCATCCATCTAGTTGCCTTTCAAAGGTTAAGCTGCCAAGTTTGCTGCTGCCATAGAAACCCTTGCATTTACCAGTGTAGCAGTGCTGTCTACCTGCATTTCTCCAACAATCTTTGGTGTCTAAGCAGGACTCTTGCCCTGTCTCTACATCTCAAATAGATAGGGACTAACTACAGGTGATTTCTACCACAGCAAGTTCTATCTTGAATCCGTAAGTCTTTGCTTTAAATCTTGTACTGTGCCCCGTCAAGCTGCCTGTTCATACCTTTTTTAAAAAGGTATACTCAATCTGGACCCAAACAGCTGTCCAGACTAAAATATGCACCCGGTAGTTGAAAAATATAACAGGTCCTGATGCAATTCATCTGTTTTCTCCCTTTCATCATCTTGTTATGCAGTACCCGTGTGCCCATGAGACTGGCTTGCTCTTTAGTACCTCAGTCAGTTCTCACCTCCCTTTGGCACTTAGCTGTCCATAAATGCCATCATCAAAATCCACATTGCATCCATTCCTCAGCACCAATCCTAACACAATGAAGCTCCAAACCCCGAAAGCAAAATCTTTCTTTTCTACACGTGGGGTGGTGTGGACTTTATTTGGCAGTTCCTTACAAGTTCAAACCTGAGTAACAAAAAGAGTACTGAAGACAAATTTATGAGAAGCTCTGTTATAATCGAATTGTGATAAAGTAAAACTTGAAAGGTAGCAATACAGGGAGGCTGAAGTAAGAAGACTACTAAGACCACTATTCAGAAGAATCAGAAGAATGGAAGGTTATGCCCAATGTACTTAAAATGGCAAATGGCTCTGAAAGAAACATTGAGTGCTATTGCAGAAAATGAAGATGCTCTTGGCTCATTTTAGAGTATAGGCTGAGGGCTGTAGGCTTTATTTTGAAATGTGAGCAAAAGCAGTTTAGGCCACAAGAGGGACTTTTTCAGAGAGGAAAAAAACATGGTATTCATGATCCCTGTGACACAATATGGGGACAAAATTACACATGAAAGCACTGCGATGTGAGGCTAGAGATACTCAGAACCGGCAGTCTCAGCCTGTCTGTCGGCTAAGTCTCCTCGGAAAGTTCTGTATTCCTAAAATGAACAGCTTTGCACGAGCGCATCCTCCGATTTCATTACAACCAGGTAAGACTGCAAACAGGTAAAGAGGAAAAACCCGTGAGTCTACAAATCTTCCCACGAGCAGTAGCTCCTGGTGAGGGAGCCTGAGGCTGGGCCGCAAGCGTGGCAGGACGTTTAACGTTGACACCTGGGTCTTCTCCCGCAGCAGGCAGTGCCACCGGGCAGGAACCAGGCATGAAACCCGGAGAGGTTCCCCCGCGGGCTGCACGGCCCTTAGGAAGGAGCCTCAGCACGCAAGTCCGGCCAACTCTTCAAAGCCACGGCGGCGCCGACTATTGTGTCGGCCGCAGCGGAAGAACTCGGCCCTCCGCGACGTTAAAGAGTCCCTCTTTGTTCGCCCGGGCGGCGGACGCAGCGCGAGGTGTGCTTCCGCGCTCGCCGCGCAGGCCCCGCCCCCTCGCGGCCCTGGAGCGCTGCCATTCGGCCCCGGAGTCGCTCCGCGTACCCAGAATGCACTGGCAGTCCGCGGGAAACCAAAATGGCGAAGGGCTGTAGCGAAGCGGTCTGTGTTTGAGGCCGGTGTGAGGACGCTCGCTGTACCCGCAGCCTCGGCCACAAGGACCTCGGTTGTGCGTGCGTATGTGCGGGGCTCCCGGTGGGGCGGGTGCCCAGTGAGAGCCCGGACGCGCAGGGGAAGCGCCCACGGGACGTGATTGGTTCTGTTTTCCTGTATGAAGCGGTTGGCACCACTGAAGTGACCGAATGAGGTGAGAGACGGTGGCCCGGGAAGTGACTCTTCCGGAGGAGGTAGGGGGAGGAGGAAGAGAGGCAGGCAGCATAAAGGGAAAGATGGAGGACGAGGTGAGGTGGGGGCCCCGTTCGTGGTGCGTTGGCCTTTCTCCGAGCGCGGGGATGCGAGAGCCGCTAGCGCGCGTGGACAAAGTCGGGGCGTCCTGGGGCGTCGGGAGCCCGCGGGCGGCGTCGAGGCCCTGCTCCGACGGCAGGAAGGAACCCGGCGGGAGGCGGCGGAGGAGCAGCGCGAACCTGTGACGAGGGATGGGGAACCGAGGGGAGGAGCGTTAGGAAGTGAGCTGAATGTGCGGGAGGGCTGCCTAGGCCTTGGGGGGCGCCCAGGGAAGTGGCAGAGGGTGGTAGGAGTGTGGAATGGGGGTGACGAGGGTCCCGTGTACTGGCCAGGCCGAAAATGCGGGTACCCCCTAAGCTTCCAGGGAAGAGGAGGGGTCGGGGAGCGAGGGGTGCCCTCCATCCGTGTGCATCTAGAATCTGTTCAACTAAGTCTCACTCCAGCCCTTCTCGGGTATATGTCTGTATTGTATTCCTTTTCACCACTGAGGGAATTACAGCTTAAGGGATTTTTAACCCATTTGCCAAGATTTTTTAACATTTCGCCATAGCCCGCACTCTTAACTGTCTGTTACAATCTGGTGTCCTTGGTTGCTAGAATTTTTCTTTGGAAAGCAATTAGCAATTAGCAGTAACAGATGGATTTATCAGGGTGATTTCTTTTAGGAAGAGTGAGGGTTTGTGAACAATGGGGAAAGGGTTTTGTTTTTGTTTTTTTTAACATTTAACTTAGGTTAGCGGTGGAAACCCTACCATACTAACTCGGATACGAAAACCTAGGTCGTTCTGTGTATGGCATTCAGGAAAGCCCTATGAGGTCAGTAGAAACAGAACTATGTAAATGGTGCCTGATTTAGCTTGACTCCAGATGCTCTAGTAGTAGTAACTTTCTCCTTCAGATTATTGCCATGTGACTCTCCTGTGTACCTTGTCTACAGACTGGCTTCAATTTCCATGTTTTCCTTTTCCCTTGAAGATTCCTTTTTGGCAGTGAATTGCAAAAAATAGTTGAATTAAAAGTGTTTATCGTGGGTAAAATAAAATCTACTTATAAGTTCCTAAGTGACCTTTCGGGACGTCAGACGGTGCTTTAAATGAAACCATTTCGACTGAGGTTTACCCCTCCCCCAAGTGTTTGCAGTGAAACCTTGAGAGGGAATGCAAAGTGCTTGGCTGTTTTTTGAGTTGCCAAATGTAAAAATGTATTTGAATTCACGCTTTAAAATTTGCTCACCTTCAGTTGTTTTCTGTTTTTTTCTAAAGTGCTAAAAATGTTCTAAATATTTGAATTAAGAATGCACCTGTTTCCTGATACTGCATATTTATAATGTTAATATGCATTAATGGAAATTTATATGAAATGCACACCCAGTTTGTGAGGTAGAGATATAGAAATCACTTGGATAAACATTTTTTCTAGATGACACAAGTAATCTTTTAAGTTATGCATGCTGCTTGAAAGCTCTGTTCAGAATTTTATTCTGTATATTCTGCTATGGGTGATTAACTCTGATGTCATGGATTATAAATAGACCTTTTCATTAGGTCTTTGTAAAGAATAATTTGTTTTATTCATACTTTAGCATAGTCTTTACATCTGACTTGAGGAAACTGGACGTATAGTGATAATCCGTTTTAGCAGATGGGGAAATTTGCTCTAAAGAGTTGCCACAACCAGCATTTGTAGCTTGGTTGTTCTGAGAGTGATGGACATTTGGAGTGTATTCATTTTCTTGGCCATTGTAAGTAATGCTATGGATATTCATGTACAGAGTTTCTGTAGACATACTTTCATTCTTCTTGAGATAGTATCTGAATGTGAAATTGCAATCAGATGATGACTCTGTGTCAACATTCTGAGGAGCCAGCAAACTTTTCCAGAGACTGCACCAGTTTACAATTCTAGCAGCAATTATGAGGTTTCTAATTTCTCAACATACTCACCTGTACTTGTTATTATCTCTCCTTTGGATTATAATCATTCTATTGGGTATGAAGTAGTGTGTCATGGTGGTTTTGATTTTCATTTTCTGATAGTAGTGAGGTTGAGCATCTTTACTATTTATATTTATTTATTTAATTTATTTGGTGGGCCTGGGGTTTGAACTCAGAGCTTTGCACTTGCAAAGCAGGTGCTCTGCTTGAGACACAAGCCTGAGGCTTGCAGACTGTTTGCCTGTGCTGGCCTCTAACTGCCATCCTCCCTATCTCAAACCCCCAAGTAAGCAGGATCACAGACATGAGCCACTAGTACCCAGCTTTGTATACATTCCTTAGAACTTTTTTTTTTTTAAGGTCTTTTGCCCATTAATTTTTTTTTTTCCTTCACTCCACCAACCCTATTTTTTGTGAAGGGTTTTTTGAGATAGGGTCTTGAGAATTGTTTCCTCGGACTGGCTTCGAACTTCGATTCTCCTGTACTCTGTCTCCTGAGTAGCTAGGATTACAGCTGTGAGCCACCAGCACCTGGCTAAAAAATTTTTTTCTTAATTGTTGAGTTGTAAAAATTCTTTGTATACTTTAGATACATGTCCCTTCTCAGATACATGATCTGCAGACTTTTTTTTTTTTTTCTCATTTTGTGAATTATCTTTTCACTTTGTTGATGGTGTCCTTTGAAGTATAAAGCTTTCAATTTTTTTTTGGTGGTACTGGGATTTGAACTCAGCCTCATACTTGCTAGGCAGGTGCTCTACTGCTTGACCCACTCTGCTAGCCCAGTTTTTGCTTTTTTATTGTTAAACTTACTTCTTAGCAGTTTGTTCTTTTTGCTGCATTTGGAAATAGAATTTTTCTTAATTTTATTTTCTGATTGTTCATTGCTAGTGTATAGAAATGCAGTTATTTTGTGTATTGATCTTATATTTTGCAAACTTGTTGAATTCATTTGTTATAATAGTTTTTTGTTTGGGGTGGATATTCTGAATTTTTGAGTTTTTCCTTACAATGTTAATTTTTGTACTGTGTGTATTGGTGACACAGTACTTTAAAAAAATAATACATATAAGAAAGTGAGTAATGATGCTGGGCTCTTACGTGAGTTGATAGGAAGAGCATTCTCCTTTCGATTTTTACCTTGGGAAATGAGCTGAACATGTAAGCTTACTATGAACTGCACCCTCTCCCACAACCATCTGATGGTAGGGAATAAAAGATGCCTCAGTATTTAATCATTTCTCCTCGGGGGCTGCTAACCACCCATTCTCTGTGTGTACTGGCACTCTTGGATGTATGTCTATATACATTGGCAATGAGGAGTATTTTTGTACTGCCAACCACCAGCTACTGATTATAAGATACCATCAGTTGTAAGAGAAGCTCTACATCTCAGACCTAAAATAGGAAAATTATATGTCTTTTAGTTAATGACTTCTATAGGCATTCGGATCTACTATAGCTCTTTTTTTTTTTTTTCTGTTTATCAAAATTTATTTAAACTGTTGGTTTAGTCTTTTGTCCCAGAGCATCCATCTAGTTACCTGCAACAAAAATATCACTTTAAGCTACATTTCCACATTTCAATTTAAAATGGCACTTGGGAAACACAGAATACTGTAGCTCTTTAGACAAAGAGTGACTAATAAATTACAGTTGAATTAAGGACTAGGAATATAGCTCAGTTATAGAGTGCCTAGCATGTACAAAGCCCTGGGTGTCCATCCCAGCACCACTAAACCAAAACACAAAACTTACAAAATAAGCCATGAGGTTAATGGCAGGAAAGTCCACAGGTCAGTTGGGAGTCTGTGTGTGCTAACTGTGAAGGAGATAATGGCCTGAAGTAAGGCAGTGGTTGTAAGAGATACCTGAGAGTCTTTAAGAAAGAACAGCAGGATTCCGTGAATATTTAGTGTGTTAGCGAAGATTCAAGGACAACAAATTTCTAGCTTGAGAAATGGTCAAATAGGAATGGCATTAACTGAGGGAACACTGGAAGAAGGGAAGGAGTTTGAAGAGTTTGATGTCAGTTTAAGTCAGAGGTACCAGGAGAATCCAAGTGGAGGATAGGCAACTGGAAATAAGGATCTAAAGCTTTTCGAGATAGGATGGGGCTGGAGATAAGAGATTTAGAAATTGCCCATAGGAAAAGTAGGTACTCAGAGTAGGAAAACTTGTAGAAGAGGAGGGAACCTTGAGCTACTCCAATATTGAGAGTAGGCAGAGAATGAAGAATCAGAAGGAAGAAACAGGAATGGCCGAAGAAGTGAGAGGAGAGTCACATCCTGTAGGTGGCAGTTATCTCAGATCAATTGCAAGAAATGGGTCATAATCACCAGTTATCATATAAAGGATGAATACTGTGAGAACCAAAATGAAAGTATTGTCTGGTATTTGGTCGTTTGGAGGTTTTTGATGTAGTTGTTAAACAGTTATCGGGAAAAAGTCAGCTTGCAATGCATTAAATAGAAAGTGCTTTTTAGGGTGCTGGGCGCTGGTACTCACACCTGTAATCCAAGCTACTTAGGAGGCAGAGATCAGGAGGACCACAGTTCAAAGCCAGCCCCATCAAATAGTTCACAAGACCCTGACTCGAAAAACCAATCACAAAAAAGGGCTGGCAGAGTGGCTCAAGGTGTAGGCCCAGAGTTCAAGCCCCAGAACTGCCCCCTCCAAGTGTTTTTTTCTTTTCTTTTCTTTTCTTTTTTTTTTTTTTTGGTAAGGTACTAGGGTTTGAATTCAGGACTTCGTGCTTGCCAGGCAGGTGCTCTACCACTTGAGCCATGCCTTCAACCTCAGTGCTTTTTAAAGTTTATTTGGTGAAAAGAATGAGAAAAAATGGAAATAATTCATAAGAATTTTTGTTGGTTTTGTTTTTAATTTGATTTTGATTATGGCAGATTTGTGCCCAAGAGAATTGGAGGGAATTTAAAATAAAGGGAGATTATTGATGAAGTGAGATTTT